AAAAAACAGACCTGATCCCAGTAAAATCATTAAGGTTTAAATTACTATATGATAGAGAGGTTTAGGGTTTAGGGTTTAGGGTTTATAAGGTTTAGGGTTTAGTTTAGGGTTTAGGGTTTAGGGTTTAGGGTTTAGGGTTTAGGGGTTTAGGAGATTCAATATCAAAACATAGCCAGCCTCCTGCGGATTCTTGGCTCAGTTTACCTAAACCCGCGACTCTTACTGCCCTCACTTCTCTACACCCCTGGCCCATAGCCCAAAACTGAAACCAACAACCTTAAACCTTGAGCGTGAAATTTAAGGCCTTAATCCTCAAAGTCTAGTTGAAGCAAAACCTCAAACCCTAAAGCCCAAACCTCTCCTCCACATAGGTAGTTCTCTAGATTTGGGTCTCTTTCTACGTCCCTCAAAATTATAACAAGGACCCCCAAAAAGGTAGCCTAATTTAGAGAACGACCCCAAAAAGCAAAAAGGCTCCCTGGGCTTCGGACGCCCATAGCCGCATGTTGACGCTATGTTGGAGGTCAGGCCTCACGAGGGTGGAAGGAGGGCGTGCAGGGTCTTGGGGGTTTGTACGGTTTAGGGTTTAGGGTTTAGGGCTTAGGGTTTAGGGTTGAGGGGTCAGGGTTTATTGTACGCTTCAGGGTCTATAGGATTTACCATTTAGGGTTTAGGGTCCATAGGTTGCGGGTCTTGTGTTATGCGGAAATTCTTCGGGTTAGGGTTTAGGGTTTAGGGTTTAAGGCCTAGTGTTGAGGGTCGTGAGAACGAAAATTCATCGGGTTACTGACGATGCAGATGGCAGCGACTGCGGCAAAACAGGTGCTGATGCTGTCCCCCAGCTACCACTGTCACTACCGCTGCGGTACGTACTAGTGCTGCTGATTCTGCTGCTGCTGCTACTAGACGCGCCTATGCTAAATCCTAACCCTAAACCCCAAACCCTAAATAAACCTCTGAAGTCAATGGAGGCTTTGTGCGACGAAAGACTCGCGGGAACGCAACCTACTTGGAGGATCATGGGACTTAGTAAGTGGGGTTATAAGTACCTTAATTGGGGTTACAATTGATTATAAGTATAGTTACCTCATTTATAACCCTAGTTACTAAGTCCCATGACCCTTTAAGTACCCTAAACCCTAAACCTGAAACCCTCAACCCTAAACCCCCCTACACGATCGCCATAACCCTAAGTATTAAGTCCCATAATTCCACAATCCCCAGAGACTCCAATATCCCTTAATAAAGGAATATACCTTAAATCATATTGGGGGTCCTACTATAATTTAAGGTATATTCCTTAATTAAGGGATATTGGAGTCTGTGGGTCCTTTAAGTACCCCTGCGGCGAAATGCCGAGCGGAGTGCAGAGGCAGCTCGTTGGGGTCGTACGGGAGGTAGGGATCCTGGGAAGCGTCGTCCTTGACCTACCAAAACCTACCTTTTTTGCAGGTTTAGGGTTTAGGTTTTAGGGTTTAGGGCTTAGGGTCCCAAAAAAAATCTAGATTAGGGTTCCTAGTAAGAACCTGCCAAAAAAAGTAGGTGATGGTAGTTTAGGGTGGGGCCTATAGGGTGTGGGGTGTAAGGCCTACTATTTAGGGGCCATCCCGGGAAGCGCTTAGCATAGGGTCTACAAGGTTTGAGGGCACCTGTAAGGTGGTGTCGAAGGTTTAGGGGGGGCCCTAAACCCTAGACTCCCTAAAAAGGTGGTTTCGAAGGTTTAGGAGGGGGCCTAAACCCTAAACCCTAAACTCCCTCAAAAGGTGGTTTCGAAGGTTTAGGGGTTTATTTGGGGGGTCGGGGCCCCAATTGGGATCTAAAGGGTGTGGGGTTTAGGGCTACTTTTAGGGGCTGTAGCGATGAGAACTTGACATTAGCTCGGGACGCTTAGGTTTAGAGCTGTGGGTTTCGGCTTCAGTGCTTTAGCGTTATGGGGTTTGGGGGTTGGTGTTTTTCCACGGCCTACAACCATTACAGGCATAGAATGAACTTAGCAATATCATGTGCACCCAAACGTGCTGGTATGCTTGCAGTATCACGCACAAAGACGATGGGAGACGAAATTGGCAACGAGTATGGGAATGACACTGGTAGCTGCATCTGGGTAGGCGAGATAGCGATGCCGATACCTAGGCTGATAGCTGCTCATAGCGATGATGGTAACAAGTGTTGTGATGATGTGACACTGACAATATCGATGAACACGATGCGAATGTCGGTGATGATGAGCAGAGTCAACTATAACATACTACAGTGTACCATAAGATCTTTTAAACTACAGACGATAATATGCTACAAAATAGTATCATTCGAATGTGCTATAATACAATCTGATACACGCTTCGCAAGTCCTCCAAGTTGTCACCGATGTGGTTCAGTGCGTGGTAGCAGAACACGGACACGAAGACAAACACCCCTGACAAAAGCCACATCGAGGAAGGCAAGTCGATGCTGACTGCACTGCTTAGGCAGGGATGGCTTCTCAACCCTAAGCTCTAAACCCCTAACCCTCAACTCTAAACCCCCAACCCTACAGTCTAAACCCCCAACCCTACAGTCTAAACCCCCGACCCTAAACTCTGAACCTCGAACCCTAAACCCTAAACCCTGCACCCGAATTTCGACTTCCCCTGACCAATGCCGGGCACCCTCAGAGGCAAAAAAACCGGAGTTCGAAGATCAAACTCAACCCAAAAGTCCTCAAATCTCCGGCAGATCCGACAGAATAATATAGGGGCCTTAATAACCAGAATAGGGTTTTGGGGTTCCTTAAAGGGTTCTAAAGGGCTTCGGGTTTAGCGGCCTTAATAACTAGAATTGGGTTTGGGGGCCATTATACTATAATTATAATACGGAGCCCCCAAAACAGTATTGGTAATTACTTAGGCCCCTACATTAACCTAGTTTATACTATAGTATACTACTTCTCTACTGCAATGCACTATAATCAACCCTAAACCCCAATCATAGATGCAAACTGGAGAGGCTCAAAAAACAGCTCTCTGGGTGCTGGTCATGGGCATGCAGACATTGTAGGGGCCTTAATAATTAGAACAGGGTTTTGGGCTCCTTATTACTAAAAGAAGGAATCCTAACAGTAATATATTAGTGTGGGGTGACATGCTGAGACAAAGCATGTCGAACGAAGCGTCGGATGCTTGGAGCATCGACTCGCTTGACTCTGGCACAATCTACTGCAATATGAGTATAGAATCATAGGGACTAGGCTGAAAGAGTATTGTTAGTTCTTCAAGGCCTTAAATGCTAAATGAGGATATCCGAAGTCTGGACCTCGAAGAGTCACGTCCATGATGATTCCGTTGATCAAAATGGGGCACAGAATTGTGTACATCCACCTTGGCAAGCTCTCGATTTGCTTCTGAAACTCGCATCACTCTAATCTCTACCAGCACGGCCCAAGCACCAGAGGTGCAAGTAACAGTACTGTTGCTACTATTGCTACTACAGCTGCTATTCGCAGTGTCGCGGTTGCTACGCAACTACTGCTATAACTGCCGCTTCTGCTCTGGCCGGTTGTAGCTTCTTGCTATGATTGCAGCTGGTCGACTTTCCCTTTCCTGGCTAAGCTTTTGAGTGAAGCGTGAACACGTCCTCACAGGGGCCTCAGAGTTGCGTAAACCCTCAACCCTAAACCCCTAAACCCTGAAACCTAAACCCTAGACACGCTTAAGAGAATTCCGAGGTCCCAAAAAGTTTTGAGACGTCAGGTGCCCCGCAGGAAGACGGCGATGATGTTGTGGTACGGGAACGGAAACGGTGTAATTGCCACCTGGCGGCCAGGCCAGGAAAGCATCCCTAAACCCTACACTTGCCATGACCCCCACCGGTAATCCTGACAATGTAGGGGCCTTAATAATTAGAATAGTGTTTTGGGGTATATTCCTCTATAATTGCCCACCATAATATAGGTAATTATTCAGGCCCCTATATTAAGTCATACGCAGGAGCCGAACACGTCTTTCTTTTGCTGTCCACGTCACGCAAACTTCAACTCTCCAAAGTCACATCTGAGGCAAATGGCTAATATATAGGGGCCTCAATAAGAAGAATAGGGCTTGGGGGGCATATTTCATATAGTTAGTAAGGAACGGTAAGGAACAATATTGGAAGATATTTTGTCCTGTACATAACTGAGGAAGCAGAGGCCACCGGCTCAGATTTGACACGAGGTGGCGGAAGCTTGCTGTCGAAACGATGAAGGAAAAAAGGGGGCGTGAGATGCGCCGCTGGGGAGGTCCACCTGCACGCCGCAGCGTGACGAGCGATTTGTCTGTCCAGGAGCTTCGACTTCGACATCTTTCGGTACTCTACCCATTTCAAGAGACTCGCCTTCACCAGCACGGGCTCAAGACACCCTGCACCTGTGACGGTCACCTGCGGGCCCCGGTTCCGTGGAGGGGAGCTGGCGCTTCAGTTGATCCCTGGAGTGGCCCGCCGTGGTGTAGACCAGGCTGTCTGCGGAGAGGATGTGCATGCGGCAGAGCATGTAATTCAGAGCCTCATCAGTCCTCAGCTGAGTTAAAGCAATATATAGAGGCCAAAATAATTACCTATATTATTTTGGGGGGGCTCCTTATTACGGGTATAATGTAATATACCGTACCCCAAGACCCTTATCAAGGCCCCTATATTTTACAAGCTTCTGACAAGACTCATCTACCTTCACTATGAAAGCATTTCTTTGTCACTGCCAAACGTCATCCGCCCCTCTTCGTCGTGGCAATAGCTGTGAAGCCAGGACTCTCTCCGATCCCTTTCCGGGGATTCCACGCGGAAGCCGGGAGGTACCTGGATAGTTCTCTAGATCTTGGTCCGTTTTTGGGTCCTCTTTATAAGGGTGCCCTACTATGTTGGGGGGACCTGAAAACGGGACCCACCTGCAACTTCAGCCAGTCCAAGAGCTTCTCGCGAAGAGCCTGACAGTTTTGAAGCTCCATAGCTTTTTGGGCTTAGGGCTTTTCTGAAGGCTCTCTGTAAGGGTTCCCTACAGACTCAACAAGGGCTCTATAGTCTGTAGGGTCCTGAAGGCCTGGAGGCTTGGTTGCTTCAGGACAAAACCCTAAAACCTGAACCCTATAAACCCCTAAACCCCTAAACCCTAAACTCTGCAACTAATGCAGGGGCCTTAATAATTAGAATAGGGTTTTGGGGTATATCCTACTATAATCACCATAATGAACTTAGACCCTAATACCTAAACCCTAAACCGTAATCATTATTTAGGCCCCTATATTAAGGAAACCCTATAACCCCTAAACCCTGAACCCCTAAACCCTTAAACCCTAAACCCCTAAACCCTAAACCCTAAACCCTCTGGGTCTCTTTTTGGGGCCTACAATACGGGCCTTCAAAAAACTAAAGACTAGGGCCCCTATATTAAGGCAGAAAAAGGAACCCCCAAAATAGTATAGGTAACCCTAAACCCTAAACCCTAAACCCTAAACCCTGAACCCTGAACCCTGAACCCTAAACCCTGAACCCTAAACCGTGGCTTTATTAAGACAGAAGATGGATTTCGCCTCCAGGGGCCTGGGACCCCTTGGCCTTGGACTCCAAGACCTCGCGGCGCAGAACCTCTCGGATCCTTGGCTCTTCTTGGGTGTAGGGGTTTGGGGCTTAGGGTTTGGGGTTTAGGGGTTAGGCTATAGGATTTAGGGTTTTAGGGCTTAGGGTTCGGGGTTTAGGGTTTAGGGCGTCTTCGGAAAGATGGCGCCACCTCACATCAGGGTTTGTGGGTGGCGGCGTACTTCGCGTGAAGCGACTTCTTGTGTGCTTTGGTTTAGAACTCGGTGCAACCGGAAGTTCTTTTTTCCCGCCCGCTGTGATGATGCCACAGGCAACCACCCCAACCATTTCCTGTTAGGGTTTACGGCTCACGC